TCCTAACACAGAGCTTGACCTCCGTATCAGTTTGTCGATCCTGTTCCTGTCCCTTTCAGTACATCCAGCCCCACAGCAGACCACATACTGTTTTTGGTCAACAGCAGTTGTTATTTGTTCTATTAATTCAATGAGTGCCATTGTCATAGAATTTTTTTTGGTCTAAACCCATACTGACTGCTTCTTAATATACTCTGTGTATCAATGAATTTGTCCAATCTTATCACAAATAATTTCTCTAAAATGTTTGAAAATTGTGGTAACAGGGATATTGGTCAGTAGTTGTTAAACYRACGTTTTCCTCCATTTTTAAAAAGAGGAATTACCTTTGCTATTTTCATGTTGTTTGGAAATATACCAGTTGAGAATGATAAATTACAGATGTATGTAAACAGTTCAATCACATAATTCATTATGTCTTTTACAAGCATCATGTCCAAGTCAACCCAGTCTTTAAATCACTTGTCTGCAAGATTGTTTTACAATATTTGTTATTTCTTCTTTGTCAGTTTCATAAAGAAAAATACTGTTGGCACAACCTGTAACAGTGTGGTTCACATTTCTAACTACTTTTGGTGTATTAGCTGCAAGACTTGGGCCAACATTCACAAAATAATGATTGAATCCATTTGCAATTTCATTTCAATGCCATCCTTTACAAAGTACTGCGGAGAACCAGATTTTACTTCATGATWCTTTTAGCCTGTTAGTGATGCAAAAGTGCAGGGTGTACATCAAAGAGTCTTTCTGATGTTAGTTGGAAATAAATCACAGAGCCTTTGAATGCTTTGTTAAACTTTCCAATACAGCATATTTACTTGGTTTTAGGTGATTTTCATCTCTGAGTTCACCGCCACGCCTTCTTACCGTCAGGAGCATTCTTTACTTAGCAGACGGGTTTAACAACGCAGCGTGTTGTTCCAAAACTAACATGGAAATAAGCAGAAACCTGCTGTAYGTATACTGGCGCAAATCAAAGCACCATCTTAAGAGGACGCGAGGAGAAACGTTTGGTTCGTTCAGTGATCAACGAGGGAAAAGGAACACAGAGACGCCATTTTGTCGTACAAAAACAGTGAAAAAGATCAGATGTCGACTCTGAWAATTTATTGTTTAGAAAACCTTTGCTGATAAAAGGAGAGCAGTCGAGATCAGAGAAAAAGCAGTGCATTACAATTCAATTCAGTTCAATTAAAAAATACTTTATTGATCCCAGAGGGAAATTAGGTGTTGTTGTAACTCCTTTAACTAAAGAGTTATTGTAGATGCTGATGGCTGTGGGCAGGAAAGATCTTCTGTAGCGGTCTGTATTACAYCGAAATTGAAGAAGCAAGCGTTCTTTCTATAGTTTTGCCCTGTTCTCCTGGTTAAATCTGTTGTTTTTATAGGAGCATCGAGACAACCAGGCCCTTCACATCAGTAAAGTGATAAACATATCTTTCTGTCACCTTAATAAAAAGATTATATTTTGTGTCAGTTCAGAATATTATTGAAAATAGATCTTAATGTCCAAATCATAATGCTAAACAGAACAGGTAGTAGATGTTCCAAAACACATATGTGCATTCTACAGTGGTTAAACAGATTTCAGCTGCCATCACGGAGCTGCACTCTATGGATGGTGATGAAATGGTTTGCCTTATTTGTTTCTGTTTGTGTTATTTCTACTTGTCCACAAAGCCTATAGTAGTCTTTTGACCAGATCCTCCAATCTCTGCAAATGAGCTGCTGCAGCTTTGTCAGCCTCCTAACTAGTTCTCTGATTAATACAATTCTTACACAATCATTGGTGGACAACCATCTCTTGGCAGGTTTGCTGTGGCAGCATCAACTTTCTGTTCTCTAAAAATGGTTTTAATGGAGCTCAGTGGGATGTTCAGAGTTTTGGATTTTTTTTTAAAGCTTCAACTTTGTTTCTGACCTGTGTGAAGAGGTCCTCAGTGGTGGATCTAGGATTTTTCTGGGTAAGGGGTGGCATTTTTCATAGAAGGGCCAAAMATTTGTTCTACCAACGCACACAAAACTCCTGTTTACTAAGGTGTTTACATCCAGTCACTCATGTTTAAAAACTTGTAATGTAAATTAAAAAAAAA